AGACTTGAAAGAATTCACTCCAGAACTTCCAGAATTCCTTAGCCATTCCTTCCACCAATATACTTCTTCGGCTGTGCAATTGGATCAATAGTTTCAATGATCATCATCTTTCCTGTATTTTGGCATCTTCTTCATCCCAAAGGACTAGTAATCATTGCTAAAGGGCATATTCTTCAGTGCTAGAAGATAAAGGAAAAAAATGAGATATACATCAAAAAAAAATCCAGGGAGATTTCAGAAAAGTTGAGGGACTTTTTAAGTCCATGGACTCATTTCTGTTGTGTTTTCATTTTTTCTTTAGAATCTTTCAGCTCTTGTCCAAACCAAAATTTACCTTTCTACCTGGAAGTTCTATTTTATGACTTATTGAGTACTGTCATTAACATTTTATCAGGATATTATTTTCCATATATTTTTTAGAAGACTGCCAAAATGCAAAATATGATTTTATTATGTCTTGCAGAAAATTGACTTTTTTTTACAGAAGGATAAACTTAATCTTATAATGTAGTCAGTACAAAAATAAATAATTTAAAATGAAGGTAGGAAACAGAAGTGAATCGAAATGTTACATTCCTGTTATGTACCAGTTTCTGTGTTTTACATATATTACTTTGTTTAACCCCTACATAATCATCTGCAGCAGGTAAAAAGGATACTACCATTTACTTATGGTATTCTGAAAAGTTTTTAATGCCAACTCCCACCCAAACTTTTCTCTCACGTTCCAGTGGCAAGTCCACTTGGCACTGACAACTCAATATCTATATGGCCAGACTGAACACATCCTCTTTCCCCAAAAGCCTGCTCTCGCCACAGCCATTCTCATCTCAAGTGATGGCAAGGTCACTCTTCCAGTTGCTTAGGCTAGAAACCTTGGGAGTCATCCTTGTCTCTTTCTTTTCTCATCCTTGCCACTCAATCATCAGGAGATCCTGTCAACTCTCACTTCTAAACAAGTTCAGCATGGATCCAACCACTCCGTACCCAACCCAGGCTAGAATCTGAGCCCGCATTGCCTCTCTCCAGATGACTGACGAGCTTTCCAACTACCTACATTCTGACCTCCCAACCGCAGCCAGAGTGAGCCTTGTAGAACATAAGCCATGTCAGTTGTGAGCTCAAGCTCCTGCCGTGGCTCCCATTTCACCCTCAGGGTAAAAGCTGAGAAGTCTTGACCAACCCCTGTCCACTCTTTCCCCCTCCACTGCCCCACCATTTTCTCTTCCACTAATCTCCCCCTCCCACTTCAATCCATCCCACTGACTTCCTTGCAGTCCCAAGACATACCAGGCACACTCCTCCTTAGAGCCTTAATCCCTGCAGTTCCCTCTGCCTGGAACACTCTTCTCTTGCATATGACTAACTGCCTTATGTCTTTCAAATTTTTAGTCAAATCTCATTTTCATAGTGAGGTTCCCTCACCTCCCCACACCTCCCAATCAGTTCTGATGCCCCTTACCTTGGTTTATTTTTCTTACATCTATAGCATGTTCACCTTCTAAACTACTCTGTAATTGACTTTCACCATGTTTAGTATCTATTTTCCATTTACTCATCTTCACCAAAATGAAATGTTCATTGCTGTGTTCCCAGTCCCTAGATAGTGTTTGGCATATGACAGATGCTCAATAAGTCTTTGTGGAATGGTGGGATGAATGAATGAATGAGTGCTTTCACTTATTCCTCATACTAACCTGCGTAAGGTTAGTCAGGAGATATTTTACCAATAAGGACATGGAAACTCAAAGAGGATATGGAACTTTGCCAAATCAGCAATCTTATAAGAGTCAGAGCTGAGATGGAAAGAGACCTCTCTATCTGTACCTTTTCCATTTTGTCACACTTCAGAACACGTATTTTATGAAGATATAGATATCCTATACCATGCAATGCATTTGTAGTTTATAGTCCCCTTTCCCCACACTCTCAGCCAGTAGTTTTTAAACAAACCTCTTAGAATACTGTGACTAAAGTGACTGGCTTACAGAGAAACTCACATTAAATGAATGATATCAGGCATATTAATTTGAATGCTGGCTGTGAAGTTATAGAAACAAACCAACTTGAGCTAGCTTAAGCCAAAAAAATTTTTTTAATAAATAATTAAAATGATTTTTAGAAATGTAGAATCTCTCTTAAGGATATATGAGCTCATGAAGATGGTGGACTACTAGCAGCCACACATGGCATTCTCAAGGAGAGGACCAAAAGTTGCAGGTGGATGCCACCTACAGGTGGGCCTTCTTGGAGAGAGCATTGAGACACACCAGAGAAGTGAGGGGAGACAATCAGAGTGGAAGAGAAGGGGACTGGGTGATCCACTGGGCAAGATTGGAAGGTATCTGGGGGAAGCATCCATACATGGGGAAGGACAGGAGGAGAGAGCCCTGGGGCTCCATGCTGCCCTGATGGACACTGCAGCCTGAGCTGTGAGGGGGCCCTGACCACCACAGACCTCTGGACTGACCAAGGAGCTGGTTGGTGTCTGTGCAGCAATTTTACACTGGAAAGCGAACACAACAGGAACCCAGTGACCTCCATTCCTGGGTCATTGCAACTGATGCCATTCTGGGCTCTCTGGTCCAGAGCACCTGGTCTACACAGGGCTCAGCTTTGCTGCAGCCACCTGCATATCACCCCAGCCAAGCCAGAGAGGGAGCAGGGAGAGTGGATGTTCTCATGTGCCCTTGACAGGGAGCCAAGCACCCTCCCCCCTCATGGGGGAGTCAGGCAGAACACGCAACACAGATGCCAACAGAGAACCTCGCAGTGACTGCCTCAGTGTGTCCTTGGCAGGGGGAAAGCCCTGCTTTCCAGTGGCCCAGCCCCACACCCCTCTCCCAAGGTTCCCATGCCACAGCCACAGTGCCCCATAGCCCCGCCCCTGAGACTCCCACCTACTGCCTAGCACCTTCCCCATGGCCCAGTGCTCCACCAGGTACCTGCCTGCTAGCTGCACAACACCATTACACCTGGACACAGATGGAGCGAACTCCCGCAGCCCTGATGCCCATGACCACTACCTAGATAGCCTCACCCAGCTGTCACTGCTGCCACCAGGGGAAGACTTGTGCAGAATGATCTCCTGCAACACCAGCCTCCATGGAAAGGGACTCTCCCAGCCCCCTGCCAGAGCTTCTAACAGCAGCCTAGGATCAACCCATCACTCTGCACGGAGATCATCCAGCACCAGCTTGGACTGGGACAATCACAGGGGAAAGGACAACACAGAACAGCTGCATTACAGGCTTTCAGTGCATCTGCTCCTCTCCTGCTGAGTCAATCTTCTAGAATAGGTCAGAAAAGCACCATCTAGGGACCTTTCCTTCTTCTCACCACGTAGGAGGATTCCCAGTGAAGGAGAATAGGTGCACCACAAACCTATTTGCCCTGAGCTGAGAGAAGAGGTTTCAGATGAAAAGAAACCTGAAAAACAACCATACCAACATAAGAAACCAAGCTGGTTTGACACCTCCAAATGACCACAATAGATCTATAGCAATGGAACCCAAGCAAAAGGAAGTTGTCAAAATGTCAGAAATGGAATTCAGAACATGGATGGCAAATAAGATGAATGGGATTGAACAGAAAGTTGAAAACCAACATATAGAAGCCAAAAAAATATTCCAGGACATCAATAAAAAAATGAGAGAGCCAATAAAGAGCTAGACAATATAAGCAAGGGCAAAACAGAACTCAGAAAATGAAGGAGTCATTTAGGAAACTTCAAAATACAGCAGAAAGCTTGAACAATAGGCTAGAAGAAGAAAGAA